GGTAGGTTGGGGTATAGGCACATGGCGCGCGTAGGCAGCCGAGCACACCAGCAGCAGCGTAAGGGAGCTTGACCTGGCACAGCCATGGTGTAAAAATTAACTTATAAAAATATTTTAACAAAACAATTAAAAAATTACCTTTTCGGGGCACAGTAAAAATCGTCGGGCAAATCGTAGCTTGATCCTTAAAAAAAATTAATTGCGTCGAGGTAGTGCATTGTAATGGAAAAATACAATGTTATCAATATTAGAAAATTTCTTTTTAATATCAATTTTGGGTTTTGAAATAAGTAGACACACGTTACTGAGCTCTAAGCTTACATGGGTTGATGAGCATCCGTCATTTAAAAAAAATGGGAGGACATCGTTGGGGTAGTTTTCGCGATGTTATAATTGTAGGTATGATATCGTCTTCCCGAAAAAGTGTTCTTGGTGATATCTTGTAGGTGAGATACCGAATTCTCGAGAAAAAAATATTTCCCGGGTTGATGATTATCTTGTAAATAAGATATCGTCTTCCTGAGATAATGTCATCACGGGTAGGTGATATCTTGTCTGTAGGGTGAGATGTTGTCTTCTCGAGAAAAAATCTCTGGTCGATGATATCTTGTAGGTGAAATATCCTCTTCCCAAGAAAGAAAACATTTCTCGGGTTGAAGATATCGTGTTGGTCAGATGCCATCTTCTCGAGAACAAAATGTATCTCCGGTGGATGATGTCTTGAAGGTTAAATATCGTTTTTCCGAGATAATATTTCATCACGGATTGGTGATATCTTTTAGGTGAGATGTCGTCTTCTCGAGGAAATAAAATATTTCTCGGGTTGACTATATCTTTTGGGTGAGATGTTATCTTCTCGAGAAAATGAAATATTTCTCGGGTTGATGGTATCTTGTAGGATATCGTCTTCCTGAGAAGATTATTCACTGGTTGACGATATCTAATTTTTCATATTTTCCGATACCAAATCAGTTAATTATTTCATTAAAACGGATGTCTACCTTCCGTGATAAAACAAAAATATTTTGTCAACTCATAGCTACTACGGAGCTCTTTAAAATATAATTCTTGTAAAAAATTAAGTCTTTTACTGAATCAAAATCATTAAAACAGCTTTTCTAACTGGAAAATAAAATGAAAATGTATGTCCGAAGTTTTAAATCTTAAGTTCAGAAAAACTCGATGAGGGTTCCTGTTTTGAGAGATACCAATGAATAAAAATTAAGGCAAAGCTATATATGTAGCCAAATAAAATATAAAAATTAAAGTGCATAAAGAGCAGGTGGTGATAAAATAATAATACATCAATAAATAACATTTAGGAAGCTTTAGCGTGCTGCAAAAAGCGAGCAAATAGCAGCTTGCAAGACAATTAGGAAATTTGGGAATCGGGGAGGGAACGAACGTATTTAATTTATACCAACGTTATCCTGACAATGCCTTTGTGCATTGAAGTATGAAGAAAATTAAGTTTTAACGTTTGGGATTTTATTTGAATAATACAAACTGAAGAATCAGCGATGAAGATGGACCCTCGGAGATGTTATCATATCAACAGAAATCAATGTCAATGGCATTGCCTGCGGCCGCATCACAACCATAAGACTTACCTTGAAGAAATAATGGTGTAAAGATGTTCATTATGCATTCCTTTTCAAACTTTTGCGAAATAAGGCCGTGTCCGAAACGGGCTTCCAGAGCTACGGCTACGTCTATTGTCAGCATGTCCCCGCGTATTTTCAATGGGCACAGACCAAGACCCTAGCTCTAGACAACTGATTCGGATGCAGCCTAAGTCTGTAAACTGTTGTGTTGAATAATGTCCATTGGAATACCGCCCTCTAGAGATTAAAGTATATGATTGAGAAAGACGACACCCTTGATGGGTGCTACTATTGAGAACAGCGACACCCTTGATGGGTGCTACCATAATCTCACCCTTGATGAGTGCTACTTTTGAGAAATACAACACCCTTAATGTAACCATTGAGAAGGACGACACCCTTGATGGGTGCTACTATAACACCCTTGATGGGTGCTACTATTGAGAAGGACGACACCCTTGATGGGTGCTACTGTTGAGAAGAACGACACCCTTGATGGGTGCTACACCATGTACTGTATTGACTAATACGACACACTTGATGGGCAACACCCTTGATGGGTGCTACTATTGAGAAAAGCGACACCCTTGATGGGTACTACCATAATCTCCCCCTTGAGTGCTACTTTTGAGAAATACAACACCCTTAATGTTACCATTGAGAAGGACGACACCCTTGATGGGTGCTACTATAACACCCTTGATGGGTGCTACTATTGAGAAGGACGACACCCTTGATGGGTGCTACTATTGAGAAGAACGACACCCTTGATGGGTGCTACACCATGTACTGTAGGCCTATTGACTAATACGACACACTTGATGGGTGGTACTAAGGCAACAACCTTGACGGGTGCTACAAGTGAGAAGAACGACACCTTGATGGGTGCTACACGACACCCTTGATGGGTGCTACTATTGATTAACACAACACCCTTGATGGGTGATCGAGAAAGACCTCACCCTTGATTGGTGCTTTTATTGAGAAATACGACACCCTTGATGGGTGCTATTATTGATAAACACAACACCCTTGATGGGTGATCGAGAAAGACCTCACCCTTGATGGGTGCTTCTATTGAGAAATACGACACCCTTGATGGGTGATTCTATTGATAAAGACGATACTCTTAATGGATACTTTTATTGAGAAATATAACACCCTTGATGGGTGCTACATTGCCAACAAATTAATTCAGTATAGAATCATTAATGTATAAAGTTGTAAAACCAGTAAGAGATTATGTTTTGTAGAGAAGACAAAGAGAGTTAAAGATAATAATTATATTTTCCAAGGAACCTCTCCGCACGATTAATAGTTCATCAGACACAATCTCACCAAGCACCAGATAAGAAAGGAATGAAAATCCCGCCGCTTGGATGTGCAAATAAATTTGAAATAATTTGTTTCTTATTGCCAACGTTTTTGGGTGTCAGTAATGTACGATCCGAAAATAATCACGTATTCGAAATGAGCACTAGCGCGCTCTCGGTTCGATTGAAAACGTCTTTCAAAAAGATAACGTATAAAATTAAAAGGCAAAAATCTTCAAAGGAAAATTAAATCAATGAGGAGAAATTCTAGGAGCGTAAAAGTGAAATCGAAAAAAATGTCAATCATTTTGTTCGATAAGAGTAGACGATGGATATCGACCTTCGGGTATATTAAAACAGCAAATGTATATCGTTCGTAATGTAACGATTACGAGTGAGTTCGTGTTGAGTTTGAGCGCTAACAAAGTTAGCGTCAATCATTAAATTTTGTCAATCATTTGTTCGATTTGTGAATCGGAATCGTTCGTTCACGATTAACGAGTTCGCGTTGAGTTCGAGTGCGAACAAATTTAGCGTCAATCATTACATTTTGTCAAGCATTTGTCAATCATTTGACAGATATGTGTATAGAAAGAAAATAAGACATTGACCTGCGGGTATTGATTAAAACAAAAAATGTATCGTTCGTTCACGATTTACGAGTTCGTGTTGAGTTCGAGTGCGAACAAAGTTAGCGTCAATCATTAAATCTTGTCAAGCATTTGTCAATCGTTTGACTGATTAGTGTATAGGAAGAAAATAAGACGGTGTAGATCGACCTGCAGGTATATTAAAACAACAAAAGTATCGTTCGTTGATTACGAGTTCGTGTTTGAGTTCGAGTGCGAACCAAGTTCGTGTTCGAGCTCGAGTGCGAACAAAGTTAAAAGAGTACAAGTAACGTACAAGAAAGAAATATGTACACGACTACGAGTGTCTGCAGAATAATTGATAGGGTCATGTGAAATTATGATTGGGCCATGCATGTGTATGATTGGGCCAACTGCTACGTGTAGTAAATCGTTCTGCTTCTCTTCCAATTTGCACCATCTGTACATTTTTGTTTAATCATGTCTACTGCTTGCCATTTAAAGACAATGATTGTGAGCTGTAGTAGGGTCAATGTTTGTACGGAATATTTTTTCCGTTTGTAACAATTCGTGTTAGATATTTAGGGCCATGTGTACGATTCAAACTTGTTGAAATTCTAGTTGCGTCTATCATGCATTTTCTCGTCGTTCCATATTGATTGTCATTGTGAAAAAAAATCCTAGGGCCATGTGTACAAAACTGTCATCGCCGTTTTGAAGATATTTCTGCCAAACCCAATTTTTCTTGCGTTATCTTCTGTACTTATGTGACAGATTATTTACAGGATTCCAGGGCCATGTGAACATGTCTTAATTTGTTTTTATAAAAAAATCTTTCCAATTTATTATGCGAAATTATTTAGGGCAATGTGAAGACAGCCTAAGAGATGGCGAGATGAAATCTCTGATTTCATAGGGAAGAAATGGAAACAACTGGCAAGGGACCGAAAAGCATGGAAAGTTAGTGGAGAGGCCTTCATCCAGCAGTGGATTGAATTAGGCTAATGATGAATGAATGAATGAATGAAATAGTGTAGAATTCTCTTCTATTCCTCCGTTCTGTAGAAATTTCTGCAATTTTCTTGAAAGCTGCTTGTGCATTCATCCCGTCTTGAGTGCGAATCATCGTGTAATATACTCTAGGGTCATGTGTTAAGTATCCATAGCTATTTTGAAGCTATTAACAAACGCTCAAATGTTGGATCTAAGTTTTCTTGTATACTCTGTATATTCCTCACCCGTTGTAACTTCACCGTGGTTAACGAAGTGAAATACTCTATAGGGCCATGTTTAAGAATCTACTATATTTTTCTATGTGACAAAAAAATTCTTGGAGATCTATTGTTTAAAAAAGCTCTACATGTATAGGACCATGTGCAGATCTTACAGAAATTCATTGAAACATGTAGCGGTCGTGAAACGTATTCAGATTTCAGAATGATGGTTTCAACGATTCCACGATTATTTTGTGACATGCAATAGTCTCCGATCCTTGTCGAAATGTGTCTTATGGACATGAAGTATTGTTTGTGATTTGTTCTTCCATAATATCCGATTCGCAAAGATCGATAATTACCTTTTGTGTTAGGGCCATTGTGTCAATTTTGTTTATTGTAAATCAGGTGTAATGACACCTGTAGCGTCGGATACACCTTGTAATCGCTCTGTAAAGTCTATATCCTGAATTTACAGGGTGAAACAATGTGCATTAATTAATTTAACAACCACAACACCAGTGGAGGATTTGATCGATGGTACATTTGAATTCTGATAAGTCCGATCACAGCTGGTCGGCAATGTGAATGTTGTTTCCCTTTGAACCGCGTTGCGCGTCAGTGGATGCGCGTTGCTTTGCGCAAACTGGAATATCATCTTCGCGACCAGTATGCCAAATTATCTATTTAGAATAAAGTAAGCTTTCATTCTCAACGGTTGAATCCATTACAATGGTCAGGTAAGGGCCACTAATTGGATTATTTTCACTGTCTGTATGTAAGATACTTTGCATCCAATTAGGCTTAGAGATCTAAGTAGCGTAGACCTAAACTAAGTTTCCCTTTTTTTCTCTATGGTTGTATCTTTATAGTGGTCAGGTAAGGACTAATATACGTTTCCTTCTCCTTATACCACAGCACCGGTCACAAATATGATCAGGAATCCACTGTACATTGTAGTTACAAAACGTAGCTCCGCTAGGAAGACTTCTTTTATTTCAGCAACTTGCAATTAGATTAGGAGGACCGGCAAGCCAGAGTGCTCATGTCAGGAGCTGCTGACACGGAGGAACCGGAAGCAGGGAGGAGGAACACCGGATGACTGAAGACCCTGCTTGCCGGCCATCCCAATGCTGATTTCCCAGGTAAAAATATTAATGTTATTCTCCTTTCGAACAATGTCTTAGGGTGTTTATTTTGTCTGCGATTAATGATACCTTATTTTTTTAATACGATAAATCTAGAGAAAATTAAATTTAATGTGAAATTAATAATCACTTAACAACTTCACAAAAGAAGAGCAACAGGCGCATAATTGTCCCGCACACATTTCCTTACATGTGTTCCTTCTAATCTTCTGGCAGAGATGACGGTCTGCAAGATGAGATGTCATTCTGGACGAAGATACAATCACTTCTGAATCCCAAGGAACGGAAAGCAGGGAGGAGAACCGACGGAAGGACTGAAGACCCTGCCTGCAGAGCAAGTCTTCACCAATTCTTGAGGTAATTTAGCAAAAGGGATTTAGATGTTTTTTTCATTTATTCATTTTCTATGTTTATATCGAACTTGTTATGACAATCTTTTCACTCCGATAGTTGGGTTGTGCTTCGAATGTGAAATAATAGATAAAGGGCCTATTTCTTTTATCTTTGCAGATTCCTCTTGTTTCGTGTAAGCAGCAGAGACGATGACAATATACATCACGGAGTGCAGTTGTTCACCAAGGCAGGAACACGAATTTTAGCAACACTCGACTGAGTTTTACAATAGCTAGCTCCTGAAAGTTCCCATAAGTTTCTCTTAAAATGTCGTCACATTTTATTAATCCGAGGGATGTATAAAGATACCATCCCATTCAAAATCCTTCCGAAAACCTGCTGGATAAATTTAAAAAGCTGTATATGTCAACTTATTTAATCAATAGGTTTAAGTCCTACCTAAGTGGTCGTAATCAGTCTGTGAATATCGAGGGAACATGTCAAAGGTAACGCCAACAAAAACGTTGGCTTTCCACTTTTTGCGACGGTGTACCGGTAATGTACATTGACTGATGTACGTACATTGACTGATTTCTCGGTGCAAAAAGCGCAAGTGGAAGCATTTCAACCTCGTGAAGAAAGTTTCTTCTTGTTTGTCGGTGTGTGAACCAATCCATGTCAACTTTTCGCGGTGTATTATATGGTGAAGATTAAAAGCAAACATCTCTAGATACCTGAGGGAATAACTACATCCCTCCAAGGTTTCATGTCCAAGCCTTTCGGAAATCAGATTTTCCTCTCATATGAAACTCGACAATAAACAAGCTTTTTTGATTGTTATTCGCTGTGGGTCTTAATTTAAAGGACCTTTGGGAGAGAGAGTTGCATTGAGTTGAAGAGATGTTTTCTCTTCACACATGTCGTATTCTTTTCAATTTGAGATTCTTTCTTCGTCGTAGTTATCTTTTTTTACCAATTTCATCAAATTCATTTCAGTATCCATGGGAAATCAAATTTCGCGTTCGCGTGATGAATACAGATTTTGATTGAAATGACTAATGTAGCCTTTCGCTTTCATGGGTAACAAGCTGCTTCTTTTCGAATTCTATAGATAAATTACAGTAAAGACTTTCCACCTGAAAAGACGCACTGGACAAACTAAGTGAGTAAAGAAATTCGCCTAACCTGCTTCTTGGACAGAATTTTTATTTGATAATGCAAAGTGCTGTTAGTACGGTCATACATCTGCATTCACCGACACACGAAAGTCGGCGCGTGTTTTAGCGACTTTTCTTGACTTTACATCGGTGTATACCAAGTCAGTTACCCTCCCACATAGGGTCCACTAGACCGAGGTTGAAATAAAGTAAACCGTATGGGGAACGAGGTTGATGTATGATAACTGAATTGCAACTAACTTAAAAGAGCCGTGAAGGACTTAAACACTTTCAAATCCAGGGGGCCACGGGGGCCATATTATCCCCCCCCCCTCAAAAAATAGAGAGATGCCGATGTTTGTTATAATATTAATAAACCAAAGAAAAGTCCTTCAAAATACGAAACTGACGTTTCTACCACTGCGAGTGTACACACGTCGATGCGACGTTAAGTTTACTCATCATGGTGGCCGTCCGTGTCCGAATCATACGGTCGGGAACAACACGCGCACTATAGCTAAGCCACTTGCTATAGCGACTGCAACCACTTATAGACTCGTGTGTTATTTGCGGCCGTAGCCAAGTCGATCGGACACAGCCTTTAGTACTCTTGTATATTTGTGTAAACCTGTATCAGCATTAAGAAAGCAATACCAGTAACTTTGGCTTTTGCCAGGTGTAACTTTATGCTGTACTTTTACCAGAATGTACGACAGAAACTTGAAATGGACTGGTGTCCTGCGCGTTACCATGGTTAAGCACCAGTGACGTATTCAATTTCTTTTCATTCCCCTGATTGGTTTGCGGTGACTATCCACAAAAAGTCTGAAACGTTTTTATTGGCTGGACGACTTTGGGGTGGTCACGAGTAAAATGACTGATACACGAGGAATGCTGGTAGAACCAGAGCGTTTCAGTTATATAAACAGACAGTAGATTTCACCCAGGGACAGTTGACTGATGTGGCAAAATCTGCTTTTTCTTGAAGACAGTAGCCAGCACGCGTACGAGTCGGGTCGGGGTGTAAAGACAAACATGGAGACGATGGACCTTACGACTCCACTGCCTGAATTTAACAGCGTGACTGAAAGTGAGAACAGTTTTGCTCTCAATTCTGAATTCGCCGACTGGAACGATTCCTGTCCCTTTGAGAGTAAGATGACAATACCAGCAGAGTTTGTCCACAAGTACCTCTACTCCTCTTTCCATGGAGTACTGTGTACCATTCTCATGCCGATCTCGATATGTCTGGGCTGTCTCCTTAACGGCAGTTTCTTGTACGTGGTGGCTAGCATCAAATCAATGCAAACCACTACCAATTTCTACTTGGCTAATTTGGCCGTGTGCGACATGCTTTACCTCCTGTCTACATCCTACGAGGCGCGGGCTTACATCATCTCGGGCACCGTGACTCGCAACACGCTCCAAGACGGCCACATCTCGTGCGTGATGCTATTTTTCGAGAATCTGTTCTACATTGCGTCCATGGCATTCGTCACACTTGTCACGATGGAGCGATTCGTGGCCATCTGCTACCCGATCAAGAGCCTGTCCCTCAACCGACGCAGCCGTACCATCAAGCTAGCGGTGGGTGCTTGGGTGCTGAACGTGCTCGTGGCGTTCCTGTACACCATACGATATCTGTGGCTGAAGGAGATCTGCTTCGATTGGCCTGACGAGGAAAGCTTTGCTCACTTACCCAATGTGGTGGGTTGGTGTTCTGGGTCTCCCATCCCGAAGCGAATCACAGTCTTGCCGGTCATCATACGAGGCTGCAAGGCGATCACATTTCTGGTAATTTTCACCATCTGCAGCTTCATGTGCATCAAGATCATCACAGCGCTTGGTAAGAGGCCCGAGACAGGAGCTGCCGCAGCCAGTCGGGCGGAGCGGGCCCGTCTCCACGTTGCTAGAATGCTGCTCATCAACAACGCGGTGTTCTTCATCGGCAACATCCCGAGCGCTGTGGTGCACATCTGTCGCCTCTCCTCGTTGATTACCGGATCGACCGTGGTATCCGAAGACACCATCACGACCATCGGCCAGACAGCCATCGTCTGTACCCTGATCAACTCAGCGGTCAACCCCATCATCTACAACGGTAGCAACCCCCGCTATCGGCGGGCGTTCCGCCAGGCCTTCACGGCGTGTGTCAGGTCTCGGCGTGATGGCAAAGACGGAAAGCAAGCCTCTCAGCTGTCAACCGTTGATCAGCGCAAGCTTGCAACCTCAACATCAAAAGCAGAAGATACATTTGACAATAAGTAACACTGACTGTAGTTGCATTTGAAAAGTATTATTCTCTTATTGACGTGTGAACTGCACTCAAGCTCTATATCCCTGTATCATCTTGCAAAAGCAGTCTATAGTAGTAAATCACCATTGTAAGTAGCTAACAGTCGCTTCTGTTTCGAAACACCCTGACGTTTATCTTCAGGAAACAAACAGTTAAATTCGTCAAATTTAGAGCACAGACAGTACATCTTTACTATAAAGCTGTTTACCTAATGAGTACAGAATCCTTAAAGGTATCTGCAGTAGTTGTGGTCCATTTAGCATTCCGCGTTGTGTGTTTCTCCCGCTGAATTTAGTTCTTGCATTTGAACACATGTTATAAAACTACAGCGAAGTGTCTCGCATTGCACAAGATGAGTTGGCAGAACTATCCCTCCCCTTCCAAGGGCGGATCCAGAACAGGATTTTTTGGGCGGGCCCAAAAAAAATTTGGTCCCCCCCAAAAAGTGGGTCCAAAAATTACGGCGTGGGGTTCGGGGCCCGCTTAAGGGCCCCGAAAAAAAATTTGGATTCTAGATGCTCTGTGGTGCGATCTGAGGCAATATCTGACCACTTTAATCAATGTTTTTTGAGGAAAAGATGGTGGTGTACTCATTGCCTGCCTTTATTGCGACGTCACAAAAAAAAAAAAATGGTTTCGTTTTTTTGGGGGGGGGGGGGGGGGGCCATGGCCCCCTTTGGCCCTCCCCTGGATCCGCCCTTGTCCCCTTCTTAAAATATATACTGGGTCAAATTAGGATTCTTCTTTGCCACTTCTTATGGATATCCAAATATTGTCCCCTAAAAAAAAAGGCGGTATCCCTTATTTTTGTAAATAAGAAACATGCACTGACCCGATAACTTGTAGAGAACGTGTCTTTGTTAATGAAATGATATTCGTGCATTAGAAAACATTCCTTTTAATGTTTCATTAAGTACTACACGTGCATAGCCATTATGACTACTTTGAAAAATTAAATGCAAATGTTTAACCTGAATTTTAAATCGAATTATTGAGGGCCTTTGACAAAAGGCACCTCGAAATCATTTCTTCGTGTACCTGTGGTTTATTGTAATCAGGACCGGATTAAGGTTTTTCAGACTCTGGCCCAAGGTCCTTTGGTAGGAAGGAGCCTGGAGTGTAAGTGAATGCGACTCGCGCGAGCCTGGTGCTGCCGCAGAAAAAGGCTGCTGCCGAATTTCTCTATTATTTCTTTAGCTTCCATGCAATGCTGAGACCAATCCGATGATGTACATTTTAAATAACAAATTGCGAATACTAGGACATCGTTTCATGCGTACACTATATGTATTATGTATTTCAAATATGAAATTTTGTTAAACAAACAAAAAAGAACACTATACACGATACTTCTTTGTACAAGTCCAATCAAATCGTCAAATCCAACACTCTAATTTGGAAAATGTTTTCCCTAAAATGCTTAAGTTACAAACAATTCTGCTCATGTCATGCTAAATTTCTAACCTGAGGTAACTTCCTAAAAATCCAAACTCCCGTTTTAAAAATACAAAATTGTTTGTAATCTGAATTTTTCTCTGGGCTGAAACAAAATAACACAAAATTTTACAGTTATTAAACACCGAAGTTAATAGTTTTAAAGATTTGTCATGACTTTAAATGGGTGATAAATGTGTACTTGGCCGGTTTCAAACACTATCATTCAGACCGGTCTGGAAAAGTCTGGACGCCGATAATGACACAAGCCGAAGGTTATCAGCGTCCAAACTCCAAACAGGTCTCAATACCGGCCAAGCACATATTTATTCCCATTCACAAATACCTGTTTTCGGTCAAACAGTCAAAACTAATCAAACATTATAAATTTCCAACGATTTGGTTCAACACGTTTACTTCATGTTTTTGAAACACCCCTCTAGCTATGTTATGGTATGTGCCACTCGCGAGCAGTCGTAAACAACACCTTATATGGAGACTGGCGCACGCATTGCGCGTAGTAATGCGCGAAGTGCCGCAGAACGCAGCTGTGCCGGTGTAGTGTGAATTTAGGACTATGAAATACGGACTCATAATTCATAAATACGGACTCATTGGTAGTATTGCGCATGCCTAACCGAGGACTGTGAACGTTCAACCACTAAAAGGGTAAGCCTGAGGACCGGATTTCGTAGGAGTTCAAATTTCATGTGACACTGGAAAAGTGTTTCAGACCCGCCAGCCGGTGCTTTATCAACCGTTTAAGACCGGCCCGTGACGGGCTCTCGGCCAATAGGAATGGGTAGCTTGTCTTATGTATTTATGAATGTGTGACAATTATATCCTTTTTGCTGATTTTGTAATTGAACTTTCAAATTATTGTTTTCCTAGAATAAAAACCAAGGGCAAGCTTCCAGAGCGGTTCTGATTGCAAATCGCAGATTTTTTTTAAAGAAGGAAAACACAGTGCCTTTTCCCCTCTTTCCAAGTTTGTCTAACATGTAAGGTAGGGGAATGATTCGTATTACAAACTTCAAACGGATAAAACCCTCCAGAAATCCATCAATTTAAACACACAGAATCATATACAAATCGACCCAGACGTGTATAAAATAGATGCGTGTTCAATGTAATGTACGTTGAGAATATAGGCCATGAAAGTGAAGAAGTCTTGATTTTTTTCTAAAGATGGGGTATCGAAAAAACACAATTTGTGAACAATGATGTAAAAATATTCTTGATAACTGAAACCTAAAATTTGAAGAAATGCTCGAGAAATATCATACATGTTGAAAAGTTACATAATCTATCACAATAGCACTATTCTACAGACATGATTTTGATTTTAAATACAGCAAAGTTAATTTGTGATAATAAAATGTAAATGAAGAAAGTAAAGATTTCTCACCAATATTTCCTTTGCCTGATGGTATGCAAACACCATAACTCCATTAGAACTCGAAAGGTACAGCAAAATGAATTTCATCGACATTAAAGCTTAAAGGTCACATTCAACATGGGATCGCCAAAAAGTGTTGTACTTTTGTTCATTATTAAACGCATTTAAAAGATCTGGTTGGCAAGAAATCCACATCATGCCATATAAATATACGGGGACAAAATTGTTTCTCGTACCCCAGACAGCGGTTTGATTTTTGACGACCAAAGTTAGACCATCGAAATTTCCTTCGCGAGATTATTACACGAAAACCACAAGTTTTCAAGGTTTAGTTGTGAAACTGTGACATGTACTTGTAAATGATCTTTTTTCAGTATCAACATTTCGTAAGAAACGCATTTTTAGGGCCCAAAAGGACGAGTGTCCCTTTAAAAGTTGATCACCCTCTCATAAGGTTTTTCCTTTCGCGATGAGGAGAACTCCTTGGTGGCGTGACCGATCGGGCTATGGATGAAGGCGACCATCAGCGCCGAATTCCATGCAGAACATCGACGGCTTAACCTCCTCACTAGATCCCTCAGGCAACGGTAACTCACAAACGACAGGAAAGATGTTGGCACTACAGTCAACTGCGAACCAATAACCGCTGTTTAGATACATGTGTACACAGTTGGCACCGTCGACATCACCATAAATGAAATTGGTATACTCGCATGGAGAACCATCCGCATGCATCCATTGCCCGTGTGTCGACGTCTTGCTGCAGTCGATCCAGATACTGCTGTATATTCCAAAATGTTGGGCGGCGAAGTCGTACAGGAATGCTTGCTCGGCTTGGGAGTTGGGAACAGCTAAGCGTCCTCCCATAGAGGAGCATGCGGTGGTGGCGCTGACCCACGGAATGTGGCTGTCAACCATGCAGTAACTGGCTTTTTCAAACAATTCCCTGTCTGGGCCGCAGACGGCACACGATGCTACGCCGAAACATACCAGCAGGAGCACCACCAGAGATTCCATTTTACAAGTTGAATGTGGTATCAAACAATGCTTCAAAATGTTCCGGGCGTTTAATAGCACGGAAGCTTAAAAGCACAGTTCACAATCTTTATTGGGTTCTTGCATAGTGTCAGTGCCGTACTTGTGTCGCTGATGGCCTCAACCTGGTCCTCTTCACAGAGTCTAATAACGAACTGCGTGTCGCTAATAGCGAACAGCAGTCTACGCCTTCCAACGCCTTCAAAAAAAATAATCGATGATGGTAACAATTGTCGAGGCGCATGCTAGATTGAAGAATGAGAGAATCGCCAACAGGAAAATTAGAGCATGGTTACTTGGTTGTGAAAGTAATAGTTGTGCCCTCGACTGGCTCACGCAAAATTGTTGGTTGTCATGGTAATGTTGTCAAAACAGTAACCATGCAGGGACGTTGCCAAGGCCCAATGGCATCATCTATTACAATGAGGGAGATGTAACATTTTTCAAATACGTATACGGTATACCATTATTTTTTTTGATCTGTTCAGTACAAAAATATTTAGGCAGTTGCTCTGTACAATAAGGATAAATGCTGTCAAAGTTAAAAAAAAAAAAAAAACGCTTCGACAATTAACCTCATGTAAGTTTTGAAATTGTATAGTTTTCATGTCGGCTTATATTTACTTCCCAATTTCTGCAAGTTTTTGTTTGGTTAATCGCTTTTTTTCTCACATATTTCTGATTATGTAATGTACATTATTTTTTGATTTTTGTTTGGGAAGCAAAAGAATATCAAACGTGTTTTTATCTGAACATAATTCTGAGCATCATCAATTTGTTCAACAAGTCTTGAGACGCGCAATCGCCTCCCCCAGTCGCCCCCCCCCCGGAAACTTGGCAACTGGAGAAAATCAAAGTCCTCTAAGTGACAATGCTAACCTCGTTTAATAAAAAAATCGTTTACTTTGTATTTCTCACGAAAACCCAATGTTTCACGATTATTTGTTTATTTGAACGTCTTGTGGAAATGAAAAAGCATTTTAGTTTGGGAAGCAAAAGAATATAAAACGTGTTTTATCTGAACATAATTCTGAGCATCATCAATTTGTTCAACAAGTCTTGAGCCGCAATCGCCTCCCCCCCCCCCCCCCAGTCGCCCCCCCCCCTGGAAACTTGGCAACTGGAGAAAATCAAAGTCCTCTAAGTGACAATGCTAACCTCGTTTAATAAAAAAATCGTTTACTTTGTATTTCTCACGAAAACCCAATGTTTCACGATTATTTGTTTATTTGAACGTCCTGTGGAAATGGAAAAGCGCCACCTATTGTCTTACATTTACCATTATGTCGGGTTTGAACAGCGCCCTCATAAAAAGATGGCGTACCCCCCTCTACTACTGTATTTGATTTTACGGAGGCCGTGCGTCTGGTGGGGAAAAAATGTGTACCTTTCAGCACGGATGAAATTGGACGCCCCCCCCCCCCTCAACTGTAACATCCAGGCTCCCCATGAGAATCATGGCTACGCTGCTGTATAGAGAATCCCAGGGGGTTGTCTTAGGGCATTATTGGGGTTCTCTTAGAGAATCCGGGGGGGGGGGGTTCTCTTAGAGAATCCCAGGGGATTGTCTTAGGGCCGGAATTTCGCGGGATTTTCTTATGGACCATCACACGGGTTCTGTTAGAGTATCCCAGCCCACACTGAACTGATAACATAGGGGTTCTCTCAAAGCATCACATGGGGGTTCTCTTAGAGCATCCTGGCCCCACGGTGCTTTGAATGCGTAGCGCGATCTGTTGTCAGATAGTGCCCATGATCGTCCTCTATGAAAAGCGCCCTTCTATGAAGACGGTGCCCCCCCCCCCCCGCCCGTACTGATTCCATAGAGTTCATCTTGGAGCAACCCTCGGAACTCTATGGAGTCAGTACGGGCGGGGGGGGGGGGCACCGTCTTCATATAGGGGCGCTGTTCAAAGAGGACGATCATGGGCACTTTACCTGACAACAGATCGCGCTCTTCATCCCAGGACATTACTCTCGACAACGGACAATCACTTCTTTGATATCTCAATGTAAGTGATTACTTTTTTTTATGTGTCGTTCGAAAAAGTGGATGATATATTTACACAAAAAAAATCACATTCCATTTCATTCTATAATAACTATACACTTTTGACGCCGCAGAAGGTATTTTGCCATTTCTGTCAAGTTTACTAAAATACAGGGTGAGTATAGAGTAAAAAAACGCATCCCAAATGGCAGGACCAATTTTTGAATGAAGTTTTGCCTGTAGCACCTGTAAAATCTAGGATAAAAAAGCCCAATCAATGAGCTTTCTTATAGTACAAGAATCATTCTAATCACTCATGTAGGCTAACATACGGCATTTTGAACACAAAAACCGTTTTAAAGTTCATTCCACGGATCACAACGAGGTACGTGTTCTTTCAGCAAAATGCAAACAATTCACATGCATCCCACGAGAATTGTTTTCGTTTTGCTGAAAGAACACTTACTTTTTTTTGTGATCCGTGGAACGAAATTTAAAACGGGAAAAGTACATGAGTGATCTAAATTGATTCTTGTACTAAAAGAAAGCTTCATGACTGGGCTTTGATATTCTAAATTTGGAAAGTGCTACAGGCAAAACTTCATTCAAAAATTGGTCCTGCCATTTGGGGTCCGTTTTTTTTACTCACCCTGTAGACTATTGTGCACTGATCACATCAAAGTTCCAAGAATGTGTGCTTTGCTTCTGGTTCTGCTGATAGTGTCCTAGAGTATAATATAAGTTCCGTCCCAAACAGAAAGCAAACAAAGTTGGCAAAGACGACTTCCGTGACATCCAGAAATCTAGCCTAATACATCTGACAAGTGCAATATGACATACATATAGATATGACAATGAAGCACTCATTTTTTTTTCTAAATTCCGTTCAGGCCAGAGTTACTCAGTTCTAGCCAATCTGTGCCTGATGCGCCAAAATGATAGTATTAGCGTATGTGAAGGGAATTCAATCGAAAATGTCGTGATTGTTCTGTGTGACGATTAGTACATTGTTGTCCGGCCGAGCGTTGACGGCTGTTTTTCCTGTGACTGAAATCTACTCAATTTACAAGTCAAAAAAATAGCAGTCGTTGGTTATCTTGAAGATTGTGTCATCAGCCACAAGACCGGTGACGTCATTGAGCTGACACATCTTTTCTCTCTTGCTGCTCTGCCAGAGATTGAAGGAGCGGCATCGGGGTTCGGCCCGGCACGCCCAGCCACAGGCAAGCACGCCCTCTACCGTCAGATTCCTGATGTCGTGATGGAGGAGGCATCGCTGGGGGACACGCCCATCGGGACCGGTGAAGGTGTGGTAGGCTGGTACCGAGGAGGCTAACATCTCACAGGCAGCAAATCGCTCTCTCAGGCAAGATATGTTATCGACCCATCGCCATTCGTTGTAACGGTTGTAGGCATATAAACTGGCGCAGTTACCTCGCTTGTCTGTGTTTGGAAAGCCACTGTGCCAGTTGGTGTATACTGGAGGTTGACCATCGCACAGCCAGACACTATCTTGAGCCGCATCCGTACATCTAATCCAGAAAGCACCATCCCTTTTCACCAATGACTCCAAGATGAAGACGTTTTCCTCTCGTGAGTTGGGCACAATCAGGCTGCTTCCTGGCCGGTTACAAGCCTCCGAGGCCTCAAACCAATTCATCTTGTCCGGCAGTACGATGTAACAAGACTGCTGCCATTTCAGCCAGCCAGGCGGGCAGGAGGCGTGTAGAAAAGCCCGGCTGCCGACTAAGTGAACCAAGAAAAGTAACGAGACGAAGTTTCCCCCAAACACTGACATGTTTTAAGATGGGTACCTACAGCAGCTCTGACGCTATGCAATATTTTTCTAAATCCAAAACTGTAGCAGGGATCGAACAATCATCTCATTGTTATTGTGCCGTTACCATGACGAATGGCTGGTGGCCAAGACAGTGTGAAATTGAGCCAGGTTTTAATTGGCAATTATTCAGAGTGGGGCGTTGATAAACAAGTAATCCAAACGAAGAAGGACCATATCAACAGAAAACAAACGGTGCTAGCTTTATCGCTTCGTACTCTTGCCGTGGCAAATTTTAGTCCATTATGGGAAACAGACGTGTGAATATTTACCACCCCTCTTTCTGATGGAGAAGAACGTATTATCTTATGTTATTTTATCTAATGTGTATTGACACTTTCCATGTTACCGGTAAAAGATTGTGCATGTCTGACGTAAAAAATGTTTCCCTGATCCGATACATAATTTTCTGGATAGACACAATTCCTAAATTATTCATAATTGCGGTACCCGCTGCTACTGTGCTATACATCCAAACCAGCCAACCGATCCCGCAAGCTCGGTGGTCGAGTGGTAAGACGTCTGCACTAGAAAGCAGGAGGTCGTGGGTTGGAGTCCCACCCGAGTGATTACTATTCCAACTTTCACTTGGGGAGGTAAACACTGACTATACGTCGTTGAAGGGCAAAACATAATATTGAATTCCTAAATTGTAAGTTATCAAAAACATCATTGTTATATATTGTACCAATGTTTAAGGACATCGCACGTGAACACATATTCCGAATCGATTTTCTGTTCGTTTACCGCTAACGATTGAAATCATACCCCCTTAGAAGAAAATTGAAACCACTCCTAAAACTAACAGGTGTCCTTCGGCATTAAAAATTTCGGCTCACGAAAATAACCATAGCAACAATATTTGTTATTGCCGAGTATACGTCTTTGTTGACGCACATTGAAGCACTGAAGCATGCAATGGCAACTGCAACTGAACTCTTCGATTCAAGGTTGTCGTGGATATGCTCTTCGTCAAGGTGTGTGGTGTTGCCTTGGGAATACCAGACAATCGATACTTTCCTGAAAATGTGCAATTAAAAACACAATAGATACAATTTGATGGTGGATAGTGTTCAGACACTTGAGGTTTGGAAAGAGATCTTGCGTACATTCAGTGTGCAGCATTGATCTCTGCAAACATGGCGTGGTTCACAGCAAGCTCTGCTCAGATACTTGTCTTGATCTTCATCAATTTACCAAGCTGCCAGGCCCTCTACTCCCCCTGCCCGCCTGGCTGGCTGATATGGGAGAAGTCGTGTTACATCTTACTCCCTGACAGGATGAATTGGTTTGAGGCCTCTAGGGCTTGTAACCGACCGGGAAGCAGCCTTGCTGTGCCCAATTCACGAGAGGAAAACCTCTTCATCTGGGAGTCAGTCGTGATGGGGCTGGCCGGAGGTGGTGCAGTCTGGATTGACTGCACTGATGCGGCTCAAGAGGGTGTGTGGCTGTGTGGGGGTCAGCCTGCACAATACACCAACTGGGATCCAATTAGATTCAACCAGGACAATGAACATAACTGTGCCCGAATGACGATATACTAACCCGACGGAACCTGGTCTGATAATGTACCTTGCGGCAGCACCAACATCAAATTTGCTGCCTGTGAGATGTCGGCCACTGCGGTAGCAGCCTACCACACCTTCACCGGTCCCGATGGGCGTGTCCCTCAGCAATGCCTCCTTCACCACGCCATCAAGAATCTCACAGTAGAGGGCGTGCTAGCCTGTGGTTGGGAGTGCCGGGCCGATCCCCGATGCCGCTCCTTTAATCTCTGGCAGATCAGCAAGAGAGAAAAGATGTGTCAACTCACTGACGTCACTCGTCTTGCGGCTGATGGCGCCGACTTTAAGGCAACCGACAACTGTTACTATTTTGAATTGTAAAAAGATTTCAGCCGAAAAAACACTTGCCGTCAATGCTCGGACAAACACTACATCATACTACTTTTGCAAATACACTGATACCGCACCACGCTTTGGAACATTGATAATTGATTGGAAATCATAACAATCGCTGCCTTGTTTTAGAAGTAACTGAGTGGACTGTTAACATTTTACATTGATCAAAGTATAGAGAATCACAGATTGGCCTCGTATGTCTTTGTTCTCGGTCTGCAGTACATACAATCTGGATGACTAGGGAAGTCTCAGTTGTCTTCATTAGATTCGAAAAGGAACTGTAAGTATAAAACTGAAATGATCATCATTGTGGGGGACAATTTCGTCAAAAACAAGGAAAAAATCTTTTGAAAAAAAGGCTAATTTTTGCGAGTAAGGTTTCAAGTTGAGCGAAACACGAAGTTGTATATAATTAAGTGTTGGTAGAATAACGGGTTTTTTGGGGTGGTTTAAAAGTATACGGATTGAGTTTAAAGTTACAATTTTATCATTATTTAGCAAATCACGCACTGTCAATGTGTCATACTGTGCAAGGGCGGATCCAGAACACAATTTTGTTGGCCCAAAATAACGCTTGTTCCCCTAAAGAGTGGGTCCAAATATTTAAGGAGTGAGGTTCGCTTTAGGGCCCCGACTTTTTGATGCGATCTCAGGCAATTTCTGACCACTTTAACCAAAATAATGTTTTGAGGAAACTTAAAAAAAACAAATGGTTTCGTTACGCCCCCTTCCCTCCCTGGATCCGCCGTTGATACTGTGTGCATGTAATATGGATGTCAGTAGAAGTTATCGAGTCATATCATCTTCATTGGACACTAAAATGGACTGGGAGTAAACGGATAAGTCGCTGCATTTTGAACTTTATCTTCAAAATCAAGCAAGAATGTCTGGGTTGCGAAGAAGGCGTTGACTTGCGAACTGAAGTCCAGATTCAGATGTACAAACAACTGAGAAGTTGAAAACAGTAAATGTGAATCACGAATAAAATGCATTCGTCGTGATGTAAAACTACAGAATTTAACTTTGTTATTTTTGTACTACACTTGTAACAAATTGGAAATGATCTTGAATCGATGCTTCGATATCATTCACAATAAATTATTTCGCGCATACTTTGGTAGAATATTTAATCGGAAACTGCTTGCAACGTCGTGGTAGATATGTTGCGTAAAGAAATGAGTTCCCAATTAGTAGCAATAAAATACCTAGAAGCTTTAAGTCTCTCTTCGGCAAGTTTTGAAAGTGTGGGAGTCTTAACTATTATCTGAATATTGTCGATATCTTACATCTGTGAACGTCGTTACCATCGTTACAGTCATTTGCGTTACCAACGTCATCATCAATTCCGCCGCCGTCTCGTTATTTTTGAGTGTAAGAACATGCTCTTTTACGACGTACTTCATTGATCAAATTCGATTGATTTTTAAGAAAACAAAAATCTTTAATCCGGGTCACTTTCTTTTTGACTCGCCCTGTACAGGGTGAGTCAAATAAACGAAACCCAACTGTCGGGACCATTTCTTTTTAGTGAAGTTCTGCATGTAGCACTTTCAAAATCTAGGATAGGAAAACCCAATTCAAAAGCTTTCGTTTAGTACAAGAATCATTCAAATCGCTCATGTATTGTGTACTTTTCAAGTTACGGAGTTTTAAACACAAGCACCGTTTTAAAGTTCAGTCCACGGATCAGAAAAAAAGGTAAGTGTTCTTTCGGCAAAACGAAAACAATTCACACACATCCCATGTGAATTGTTTTCGTTTTGCTGAAAGAACACTTACCTTTTTTGTGATCCGTGGACAGAACTGTAAAACGGTGGTTGTGTTTAAAAATTCTGTAACTTGAAAAGGTGAAGAGCCATTTGGACAAAATGGTTATCACGCAGTAAAAAGGCTTCACTATCGGCAAATGACCTTTCCGTTCTATAGGCCTACGACGTTTGTCGCGAAACGCATCATGTCAGAATTGCTACAGTCATTTTGTGAACGTAATTGGACAAGTCTTATGATGCCCATTTTAATGACTTTGCTGTAATAAACAAGGTAATTTAAAGAGCTCTCAGTAGACAATTTGGGTAAAAAAAATTACTTTCGGGATGAAAGCACTATGAACTCTTGCAAAGTGCAGCAGCATGCTCTAGAAACATGGCATGGTTCACAGCGAGCTGTACAGAGATCTTTGTCCTGGTCTTCATCAATTTACCAGGGTGCCAAGCCATTACATCTACGCCTCCTGCCCGCCTGGCTGGCTAAATAAGGACGTGGTTATTAGTGTCGGATTTAGAAGTAGATGTAAGGGGCGGCCGCCTTCCCCTTGGGCAAGCGAACCCCTCCCCCACTCCTCCCATGAAATGCCACAGCCCAAGGGCGGATCCAGAACCCATTTTGGGGGGGAAATTTGGTCCCCCAAAAAAGTGGGTCAAAAAAATTACGGCGTGGGGTTTGGGTCCCGCTTAAGGGCCCCCCAAAAAATTTGGATTCTAGATGCTCTGTGGTGCGATCTGAGGCAATTTCTGACCACTTGAACCAATGTTCTTTTGAGGAAAAGATGGTGGTGTACTCATTGCCTGCCTTTATTGCGATGTCACATAAAAAAAAAAAAATTGGTTTCGTTTTTTTTTTTTGGGGGGGGGGGGCATTGCCCCCTTTGCCCCCCCCCCCCCCGATCCGCCCTTGACACAGCCTCAGCTGCTTTAGATATGAGGAAAAGATGGTGGTGTACTCATTGCCTGCCTTTATTGCGATGTCACATAAAAAAAAATTGGTTTCGTTTTTTTTTGGGGGGGGGGGGGCCATGGCCCCCTTTGCCCCCCCCCCCCCTGGATCCGCCCTTGACACAGCCTCAGCTGCTTTAGATACCCGCGCATTATTATTTAAAATACGTATAGGCCTACATTCCTTAATAAAACTAAAACGACCAAAACCTACATTTAACATGACACGTTCTCCAAACCTCCCCAAAACTAAAAGGCTTTTTTTGGGGGAGGGAGGGGGGTGGGGTGCGTTTGCGAACTAACAGATCCCTCATTAGCAAACATGATAGGGTGGAAAATGCAAAACTGA